TGGATGCCTGGAGAGGTTCGCGCTAGCTCGGCTGCCATGGATCGTGCATCGGGAAGCCGGAGACCGCCCGTAGCTGAAACAGGGCGTCGATGGGCGAGGTGAGACACTGATTGCCCGGCAAGCGACAATTGAGCTTCTGCATGGCTGCCATCCACTCAGCATGCCTAGTGGTCAACTCAATCTTGTCTTGCGCGTATAGAACGGCGGCTTCCAGATATGCTGTATCCTTTGGTGCGCGAGAACAGGCAAAATGAACTGAAATTTCCTGCACCATCCAAATTGAACCTTTACAGATGTCATTCTGCAACTCTTCGATACGGGTGAGCTTCTGCCTGTCTTGATGATAGAGACTTTCGTGTTTGTTGCAAGGTGCAGGCACCTGTTCAAAGAACTGGTTATAGCAGAAGTAAACAGAAGAAATGAGGGTGAAGTATCGCCAGCCTAGAGCAGCAGCTACCGCTCCTTCCGTGAAAAGGAAGTGACGGGACAATATTGAAGCTCGTACCTGCCTCTTCTATTTTGCATCCATGTATAAATAAGCATTAGCTGTCGTCAACGTTGGCAAGAACGACTCAACACCTGCTTCAAGTAGGGCCTGCCTAGTTAGGCTGACGAGTGTCGCCCTAGGTAAGCACCGCACCTCGCACATAACGGTCCAGGCGCACAGGCACACCACGGTGGGGAACCCGCTGGCTTTGCTAAGGTAGTAGGACCAGGAACGGGAAACAATGAATTAGCAATCGTGAATTTCCTTCTCTGAATAACCACGTCGCCACAAGACAGCATCACCATTTGAAAAATGCACATCGACTGAAAGTATTTTGCTGCCACCACTTGATTCTTTCGAACTAAATGGGGTCGCACCAAAGCTGCAGCCATGTCTAGTGATGCGGCGCCGGCCCAGCCACAAGCCATCCTCCGTGGGCACAAGGCTCAGGTCCATGCTGCAAGTTTCGTTCGCGGCAATGATCGTCTTGCTACAGGCGATGCTGATGGCTTCGTCATCCTGTGGGATCTCGCTATAATGCGGTCGCGTGCGGTCTGGCAGGCGCATACAAATGCCATTCTGGGCATCGCTGCATGGGGCGATGAGAGGATAATCACACATGGTCGTGATAACAAGCTCATCATCTGGAAACTAGGCGCTGCTGATGAAAATGCTATGAGCACATCATTGCCGCTCGACACAGCTGTGAGTTCTAGGCCGCAGCCGTGGATGGTCTACATGCTCGAGGTCAATACCATGAATTTCTGCGCCTTCGCATCGTGTGCGCCAATCGCCTCTAATGAGGCGTCCGCCGAGGAATTGCTCATCGCTGTTCCCAATACTCTTGCATCCGAAGCTATCGACATCTTCCACTTGCCGTCACAGCTGCGCCAGCATACAGTAAAGCTAGGCGATAAGAACGGAATGGTCATGGCTCTGTCGATGTTCAATCATTACAATAAACTGACGATTGCGGCTGGATATGAGAACGGCCTCGCTGTAGTCGCGCAGCTGAATGAGGATGGGTTTTGGGCTCTCAAATACCGAGCACAGATTCATTCACAACCCATATTGTCGTTAGACGTCGCCCCAAGCCTTGAGTACTTCGTCACAGCGGGTGCCGATGCCGTTATTGCAAAGCACCCCCTTCCAGCGCGACTCGTGCCCCCTGTCGGGCTAATCGAGAACACAGAGGTAGAAGCAGCCGAAGCTTTGAATACACCGCAGAAACAAGCTTCACAGGACAGTGGACCTATGCACAAAAACCAACCGAAGGAGCCTGTGTCCCTTCTGTCTGCAACGCTTGCAGCACAGCCGTCACGAGCACAACCAAGCATTAATGAGCCTTCTGAGCCCGAAACTCACCCCCTCAAAGTAATCAACACCAAGCACGCTGGCCAACAGGGCGTGAGAATACGATCGGATGGTCGGGTTTTCGCCACGGCTGGCTGGGACGCCAAGGTCCGGGTGTATTCTACAAAGACTCTTCGAGAAGTTGCCGTGTTGAAATGGCACCAAGTTGGCTGCTATGCTATTGCCTTCTCCGACATAGAAGCCGCCCGCGGATTCGAAGTGGCAGTAAAGGCCACGACAAATCAGGCAGAGAGACCAGGTTCGGTTGTACCAAGGCTTCTAGATGTAACAGTGAAGGAGCGAAGACTCCGTCACGCTACGACTGCTCATTGGTTAGCAGCTGGCAGCAAAGATGGAAAGGTTAGCTTGTGGGATGTATTTTGATGAGTTCAAAGCTGAAATCGGTATCTCATCCGAGCCTGCAGTCATTGGAACAACAATAGGCTGCTTGGCGATTCGCGCCTGGACAAGCAGCACAATACTGACATGAAGGACCGAGATATGGTCTCTTCAGGCCAACGGTGCCCAAGACAAATCCCTCGTGAACATATTCGCGTCGCTTACAAGCAGGTACTCGCGCATATTGAGGACATTGCGTTGGCTGTAGCTCCGGAGCGTGTAGATGGTCTTCTTGAATAGTGTGCTATATAGTTTGCCGAACGACGCGGTAGTCAGCAGTCAAATGTCAAGATAGTTATATGCATGTCCCGAGCATACAATTTAGAGAAGGAATTGAGTATGCAGACAAACATCCTACGTTTTGGAGGCTTACGCCTGATGTGTAGCCTTAGTGATATGTGGTGCTCTAGGTAGCTTGGCTTTGCCGGTCATTTTAGCGCCGGCAGCCTGGCAGCCCCGGCCGAATCAGCCTGCATTCCGGGCTCGTGACTCCGTCGACGGCTCAAAACATCTAACGTCATCCACAGTTCTTCGCCCTTATCTTCTTATAACCTGCGCCGCTGAATGCTCATCCGTAGAGGACCATCGTTGGTTGCTCCATCTTCGAGGCGATGGAAAATCTACCACAAGATATTCTAGACCTGATCGCAGAATTCACACATCCGCTCTTGGATGACCAACAAGCTATTCCCGGTACAGATGATGGAGAGGTGCCGGAGTGGAACGTGGCGCATCTGGCGACTGTCTGTCGGCGGTGGCAGGCCGCATTCGAAAGGCAGATCTTCAAAACGGTAGTTCTGGATATCAGTCGCTTTTCAACATTCAAATCGATATGTACGGGGCGACGACGGCGGTGCATGCGCCAGGTGCATTTCATACCAAAAGATGCACGGCCTTTGCCCGCAGGCCTGGGATGTTGGGAGACTGCGGATGAGCGGAAAGCCCTCGACGAGGAGTTTTCTGCCCAGATCTCGAGTTTATTCTCATTCTTACGAGACTGGGAGTCAGACAGCACTGACGACAGGCATGGAAACGTTGAGCTACATGTCGAGGTCGAGCGATTTCCGCAGTGGACAACAGGCGCATGTGAGCACCGGAAATGTAGAAGCTGGCGACTTCATCTCAAGAATGCCGAAATACTGCCTCAACTTTCATCATTCACAGGGCTCAAGGTTACATCAGGCATACATACGCCCATCGACTTTACCGTGCCCCTCGCTCTTATGTCTCGTCTCCCAAATCTGAGAAGTCTTACTTGCAATATATATGACTTCTACCACAGATACATGGAGGTCGGCCTTGAAAATCGACTTCGGCTCATGTATCAAGGCCCGCGTCGCGACAGCCGGCATGCTTTTGGTGATGCAATAGAAGCTGGGGTTTATAAAATCCCTAGGACACTGCAGCACGTCACGTTTGATAGTATTGGATTTGATCCAGATCACGAACCTCGGGACCAGCGTGATAGTCCATTAAATCTAGTCAGCCCATCCACGTATGACCCATTTAGCAGTGGTCTACGGTTACTCTCAACAAATCTACGTACCTGGCGAGTCAGGGGTCTGCTCGATACAACAGTATTCTGGCCAGCGCCGCCACTGAACCCCGGGAAGGATCCGCGCCCAGAGCCGCCATCTTGGCCCGAACTAGAAGATCTTGATATCGAATTTGAGCTCACACGTCCTGCTGGGTCGTGGTACTTTGCAGCAACTTGCTCGGATGCAAACGCTCGACCATATGCACGTCCTATCGCAGCTCTGGATTATCCTCCATCAACCACAACGAGAGAGGATCGCGAAGATGATGAAGCCTGGGAAACAGATGATTGGGAGTGGCAGATGAGAAACCAGGCTCTTCTCACATGGGGTAGAGATGCAGGTTTGGAGGGAGTGCAGAGGGGATCTATGTTGCCTCCTGTGGTATTCAGAGTTGCACCATGGGAAAAGCATGTACTACCCATGTTGAGCGCATTCGCTCGAGCTGCAGCGAAAATGCCATCACTGAAGAGAGCTTGGCTGCACGCAAGCGTGAAAGAACAAGCAGAGGACAAATCACAATGGTTTGGAGTTGGGACTGGCCGACTGCTGGACTGGGGAGTGAAATATGAGGCGCCGACGAAGCACATGAGGACAAGAAGACTCACATGGTTTGTCGGAGACTGGCGACCACCTGCTGAGATGAGGGGGCTCTTTCGGCGCATCGGCGCAGCAACAGGAAGAGAGGTCCTCGAGGTGTTCGATGACCCCCCTGTCCAGCCCAATGAAAGTCGATAGAGATACAGGAATACAACAACGAATATTAGGTCATGTACCAAGATAGACAAGCTTGAGTCCTCATTCATGTCTCATAGTTCTTCTCATATAAAACATCTGGAACATTGCCATCCTGATCTCGAATTTCGAGCTTTCCAAGCGGTCAACTTACTACAGAGATGCTTCACTGGCCTACAAATTTGTGCCTTGACTGCCAGCTACTTCAGATGCAAGTTTGCAATACAAGTTGCTTTCGGTTCGGAGACGAGAATAGGAACTTCAGTTCGCATGCCCACCGGGAGCTTGCTTCACACACCTATATACAAGAAGCTCCCAAGCTCCGGGTTTTCTTTGGTATAAATACAACAACAAAAGTCGGTCAGAATCCAGTTATCGCGCATATCGTCACTTCACATCCTGTCCGAATCCCGTTCTGCTTCAAACACAATATCGATGAAAAAGTCTCAAACAGTGTAAGTGTGAGAACCTCAAATGCTCTTCTGTGACGTTTATGCAGTGCTGCCTCGAGTGAGGAGACTCATCAAGAGGTCAAGGAGCGTATTTCCTGTGCTTGTCGCTCCACCTGTCGCCCCTCCTGTCGCCGCACCATCCGTGGCTCCCGCTGCTGGAGCTGCTGCGGCGGCATCTGGTAGGAAGATGCCCCATTCAGCATTCATATTGGCGACTGTCAAGGTAAGTTCGTTCTCCTCAGCCTCAAACTCCAGCTCGCCTACGGCAGGATCGATGACGAAAGTGTTCGTTTCGGTGCAAAGACGCCCGATCTGTCCCTGGCTGATATCGACCGTGCCTGAAATGTCATAGTTGTTAGCTCCGATTATAATGAATATGATCCGGCAACTGATGGAACTCACTGTTGGCGTTACGAATGAAATCCACCTTGGACAGAGTCAACCCATCAGCTGAGCCACCACTCAGCTGAACTTGATAAGACGAGGGCTCAAGAGCAGTGAAGCCAGCAGGAGGGGCAGCCGGTGTTTTGTTTTCTTTGACCGTGAGGGTGCGACCATCAGCGTTGGAGAATTCGATTTCAAGGACGCCAACTGCCTACAACATGTTCATCATCAGTACTTTGAATTTGTCGCACAGGTAGGCGAGAGTCTTACACCCGGTGGAAATGTCGTGTCTTGCTGGATGTTGCCGCCTTGGAGCTCTGTTGGAGTATCGAACTGTGACTGGAGATCAAGTTTGTTGGCTGGTTCTGCTTCTTCAGCTTTCTCAGCACGAGCAATCTCGAGGCGATCATCGGCTCGAGCTATGAGCTTGCCAACAGTAAGACCCAGCTTTGGGGTAGGTACGGCATTGGCAACAGCCACGACAAGGAGGAGCGTTGACAGGATTTGCATCTTGACAATGATGCTTTCGGTGAATCAAACAGGCAGAAACGACTGAAAACTTGGAAGCCAAAGAAGGTCGGACCTGCCGGAAGATCGAAAAGAATAGGCAAGAAATAACAAGTCGACGTAAGAGGTTGGAAGAATGAGATGAAGAAGGAAAGAGATCAGAGGGAATCAATAATGAACAGCTAAGTTTTTTATATTTATATATCCTTAGGACGAAGTTTTCGAACTAATTATATGCCCCTTTCAAACTTGGCACGGTCACAAAAGCGCTTGGAAGTCTTTCACCTAGCGCCTTCTTGGCCTACCATGGGAATAAGCACGGGAGTTTAGCATGGTGGAGCGGAACCTTCCTACACAAAGTACGTTGTCCCGCGTGGGCTTGTCAACTTCTGTCCGCTTTCACGAATCCCGAGACCTATGTTGAGGCCATCAGCAGCGTGATTCAGTTACATTAGACGTTAGCCAAGGAGAGCCTAGTTTCGCGATAGTCATCAAGGTGGGTGCAAGACGACCTAAACTACTCTATCATTCGGCAATTTTAGAACTTTTTGAACAACTTGCATGGTTTGAGACATGATGATCCACATTTTGGTGGACTTATTTAGCAAGTGAGCACGCGACTGGGTTGAGCTCGACCGAAGTTCACAGGGCTTAGCCATCAAATGGTCCCAAAATGGCCCGCGTGTGGGAGCCTTGTGCCGTTTCTAGAAGGTAGGGGCAAAGGAGCCGAATATGTAGAGGCTATTTTAAGGTGATGAAGACTACTGTGCTCAGAGCCAAGAGCCTCCTCTGTCAATTCTGTCAACTTTAGTCGGTTTCGGCTGTCTCCCCCACATCGGAGGCCTGCCTGCGTGCTAGTCCTCCACCAGGGTAATAAATGTTAGTTCGCCAAGATTATCACTACCTCCTCAATAAGGCATTACTACCTTTATAGAAGTTGATAAACCCATAGTAATAAACAGAATGTTCGAGAATTTGAAGAAGTATTACGACTCTCAGTATTGAGTATCTTTACCCTTCAAGAACTCACGCTTATTCACCCTGGCAGAGGAGTACTTGGACCTCACATTGAGCTGATTGATGAAGGCTAGGTATGGAGGCTAGATGAAATCCTGTAGTCACAGCCATCTATGTTTAGAACGAAAAGTTGGGATCAAACATGTCTGTGCGGCCGATTGATGGACCGTAAACACTTTTGTATGGTGGCTCTCCTGACACAACGAGTCTCACCAAAAAGCTTGGCTCGTCGTGACCGGCTATACGGCTCGCGCGCCTCGCAGACATCTGAACCACAGCTGGACACCTTGTCTGGATTTCAAAAGAAAAACTGCTACGATATGGTTAGAATAACAGACGATGGAAAGCCTTGATGCATGACTTTCATATAACGGTATGAGACTGAGGTCTCGCTGACGGAAATAGCCCTGGCCCCAGCATCATGCGGCCTTGGCAAGTGCGAATTTTTGCTAATCGATGCCAACAATGAATCTGGACGGAAGACAAACTCGTAATTATTCCTGGAATACAAATCCTTGCCACAGATCCAAGTCAAAGTAAAAGCATGAGCGCCTGCTCAAACATTGACGTGGTAAGCAGCAAGCATGTTGTGAGCTTGTCCTCTAGTAGAGGCACGTTTCCTAGAAGGTAGACATCATAGGTTTGGATTTTTCACCTGGCATGGTAGTTATCAATTCTGTTTTTGAACACACACATTCCACCTCAAGCCCTTGATGTTATTTCAAAATTATTTTCTATTCCTAGGCCCGTTGCTGGTAGCTTGCAGCTATTTTGACACCAGGATGACTAGAGGCTGATAAACAACGGAGTTCATCTCCTGACACGATCAACTTTGATCCAATCATTGGCACGATAGCCATCGGCACTGGGTTAGTTTTCATTCAAGGAAGAACTTGTTCAGTCATTTAGTGACCCTCTGCTCTATGCAGGACCTATAACTGAGAAGAATTCTACACGCTGGCGTTACCTTGGCTTATTGAACCTACTGCACTGCGAACCAACGCTGACCAATCTCCTCGAATAGTTCAAAGCAAGATACCACGAATTTTGAGACAGTTATTTTAGTACCGCACCATCCGCTTCTACTTGGAATTGCTAGTTGAACTTCCCTCCGAGCCATTTGTGCGAATAGCTTGCGTTAGCCGGAGTACGAAGATCTGATCAAGCTCCATGCGTTTCATGGGTCACCCGCCGCGTACGATAATATGCACTCAGTACATGACAATATCAGGGATGGGAATCACGGTGAGGCTGTCTTACGGCGAAATATAGCCGTCGGTCTTGCGCATTCCGGATGGCGAAAGCCTGTGCCTCCCCATATTGGTCAGATTGCACTGATACAAAGCAACTTGCCGAGCGATGGTCAGCAGTTATGTCAAGAGTACATTGGCGAAGAGGTCTTTGCTGGAGTGGATGGAGAGATAATCAACTGATGTTGGTCTCCACAGAAGGTCGCTGGAAATAGCTATGGAGGAGGTTCTGAAGGTCAGTCCTCTTTCAAATATTCCTTCGGCCGAGGCTGCCATTCTCATTCCAGCCGCAGCTGAATGATCTGGCGAAGTCAAGCCGATCAGCCTCTTTGTCTGCCAGGGTATAGATTCTCATATGCTCTCAGCGACTACTTCAATAACTTGAAATTTTGGAAATAGCGTCAATATTAGCTCCAAGGTCTAAATTCTAATGCAATATGCTTTGGCCTAGTTCGCTCGTAGGTCCATACACAATCAAGCTACATCGCCTTTATCTCTCGAGTGAACCTAGGCACTTTCTTGGTAAACTTGGCTGGATCGTCTCTCGCCCCCTCTTTCCAGTATTCGTATTCGATCCATGCGTTTTCCGGCATTTGCTCCTCCATCGCCGCAATCCAGTTTCCTAGATCAGGAGACAGTGGCATCACGCCAGTCTCCAGAACGTATTGGTCCCATAGCTTGATTAACTCTTGTAGTCTCTGAGGTTCCTGTTCAGCCAAGTCGTGAATCTCGCCTGGATCCTTAGCTAAATTATATAATTGCCAGCGCTCAGGCCCTTTTGGTTTGGGGATGAACACAATCTTCCAATCTCCCTTTCGCACAGCAGCTCGACCGCAGGTCTCCCAGCCGTTGATGAACTCTTTCTCGTGAATTGATGGAGCTGCCTGTTCTAAGTAGGGAACCATGGACTTGCCCCGCATAGTGACCACCTCGCGCCCCTGATACGTGGGGGCTGGGTGTGCAACACCTGCCATCTCCAGAATCGTTGGTGCAATATCCATCACAGTGGAAAACTGATGTGATATGCTTCCTGGCTCGACTTTTTGTGCCCACCCAACGGGCGGCTTCATGAGGAACGGTACACGGACACCGCCTTCTGTCGTATATGCCTTATACAATCTGCTGGGGGCTGTTGCGGCTTGCGCCCATCGCGGTCCATACCAGATGAATGAGTCGTAGTTGCCAAGATTATCTATCTTATTATTATAGTATTTCTTGAGATGTTGCATCATCGTGCCTTGAACGATGGGGTAAGCTTCGTAGGCTGCACCTTCCGCACCGTTATCTGATAGGAAGCAAATGAATGTGTTGTCCAATTCTCCTGTCTCCTCAAGGTAGTCGACTACCTTGCCAACATTCGCATCAATGCACTCGACCATTGCTGCAAAGACCTCCATCGCCTTGCATGAGTTTGCCCTCTCCTCGGCGCTCATTTCGTTCCACTCTTTGACCTCATCGGCCACAACTGGATGGGGTTCTACGTCCTGAGGCACCATACCAAGGTCCTTCAGACGCTGTAGCCGCTTGAGACGGAGGGCATCTGGACCGTCGTCGTATACTCCTTTATATTTCTTGACGTACTCCTGGGGAGCTTGCAGTGGCCAGTGCGGTGCAGTGAAAGGATAGTAACCAAAGAATGGGCGCTCATCCCCGCTCTCTTTACGTTCTTTCAGGTATTTCAACATCTTGTCTCCATACCCATCTGACGAATACCATCCCTTCGGAAGTTTCTTCACATACTCGCCATCTTCACTGTGAAGGGCAATGAAGCTCATCTCCATGAACTCGGGAATTTCGTCCATCTTCTCAAGTTGCGGCTCATAAGCAAAGTGGTTGCTGCATGCTGGTAGGTGCGCAAAGCTTTTCTCAAAACCACGGGCCTTCGGGCTGCGCTCAGGGGTCAGCCCGAGATGCCACTTGCCGGACATGAGAGTGAGATAGCCAGCATCACGGAGAATCTCAGGCAGCGCCGCCACTCTCTCATTGAGGTAACCTTCATAGCCTGGCATACCCCGTTGCACGGCCGTTGACATCCCCCCTTTTGGGTCATTCTGCCCAGATTTGTTGGTCCACTCGATAAGATTTCCAAGTCCAGCAATATGATGATCCGTACCAGTCATAATCATGGCACGGGATGGTGAGCACGCAGCCGCAGCGTGAAAGTCAGTAAAGCGGATTCCATTCTTCGCCAACTTGGCGAGGTTCGGTGTATTGATCTCGCCGCCAAAAGGGGCGATATCTGAGAAGCCCAAATCATCGGCCACAATGACTAAGAAATTTGGGCGTTTCTGGGCAGCCATGTTGAGGAGATAGAAAGGAGTAGCAACGCAGGAATAAATAGACAAAATAATTTCCTCGCTTGGGAGCTAACGGAGGCCAAGAGGATTTCGCCTGAGACCTTGGGGGCTCTTGACGACGAGCTGAATAAAGAGAGAAGTGTGATAAAAAGACTAACCTGTCATAGACTTATAAGTTCGCTGACGATGCTCACCTTTTGACTTTCAGGTAACTTCCCCCACTGATGCGATTTCGGCCTCTATATGGTTTCTATCGGGAGACTGAGGTCCATCTCGGAAGTCGGGGCAGGCCCACAAAGCCCGACTTGCGAGGAACTCTTGATGAACGCAACACACCCCTTCAGGTGAACAGAAACATATCGCACCACAACTTTCAACCACGTCTCTTTCCTGTTTACATTGACGGCGGGGCCTCAAGAAACACCGGTTTTCAATACCAGCCGACAGCCGCTTTTATAGCCGCCCGAACCGGCCGAGCCGCCCGACATGTTCCACCGACAAACGACCGATATGCGCCTCACACGATGCTGTTCTGGGATTCTAAACGCGGAGAATGGAGGCATTTAAACCAATCAAGGACGCGAAATATCGCGCTTGAGACTTCCCCACAACCATGGTTTGGAGTTGAGCTTGATGAGGGAAGACCGGCGTCGAGCTGTGACCCATTATCCCTGTTAACGTCACTCTGGCAAGCACTACTTGGAACTGGCCTTCGTCATCTTACACCCTCCATTGCGGAGTAGTTCCGGTAAGCTGATTTGCTCGAGATGTTGCAATTGCTAGGAGAGAGCACGCATTATTCACCCCTGGCAGAGGTTTTCGGGCCAGCCACAGACAAGACATACTAGACCTGAAGTGGACCCGATAGCCGTCAGCAACGGAAAGAGTTGCGGACGTGGACGGGTTATTGAGAATAAATATCCTCAAAAGGTATGGAAGACGAGGCTGAATATCTACTGAGACATCCATCCGAGTCAGAGAGAGCAGACGGTGGCATAATGAGAAGCACAACCCTTGGGAGAGTCCGTGCCTATTGGCTTGGATCCGTTGTTTGTACCGGGGGGTTTTTATTCGGCTACGATTCCGGAATTGTAGGTGAGTTGCAGTTGCTCATCAATGTGTGGTGATAATCGAGAAACTTACAGAGGTTTTCAGGTGGTGTGCTTACTCTTTCCTCGTTCGAAAACGATTACCGTTACAAGACCGGCTCAGCTACACGCACGAACTCCCTCTCTGTTGGTCTACAACAGCTTGGCGCCTTCGTGGCCTGCTTTCTTGCATGGCCGATGACGGACTACCTTGGCCGTAGGAAGTCTCTGATGATCGCTTCACTTGTTTTCTGTATAGGTGCTGCTATTCAAACCATCAACACCCATTCCCTAGCCGCTTTCTATGTGGCTCGTGTCATTGCTGGCATCGGGCTAGGGATTTCAACGGTCGTAGTGCCTACTTTCAGCAGCGAAATGGCGCCGAAGGACCTTCGAGGAAGGATAGGATCATTTTTTCAATGGTTTTATACTTTCGTAAGCTTTGGCTGATTCTTTCTTCGCAAGTTACTTTGTTACTCATAGACGTTTTAGGGAATTTTTGTTTCTTACTGGGTCGACTACGGTGTGGCTAAAGATATCGCAAACACCGAAACGAAGCAATGGCAGATCCCTATCGGCCTCCAAATCCTTCCTGCGGCCTTTCTCGGCTTGGGCATGTTCACTCTAAAGGAGAGTACGAGATGGCTCACAAAGAAAGGTCGTCATGACGAGGCATGGGAGAGCCTGAAGTGGATCCGCGCCGACAACTCCGAAGCCACGCAAGCGGAGATGGAAGAGATTCGTCATGGCGTACAAAGTGAGGCTCAAGAAAGAGAGGGGTTCCACATTAAAGGTATGTTCATACATACATACTCTCACTCAGATTTTAGCAGAATCCAAAATATGTTCAACTAACAGCAACTTCTTGAAGAGTTTCTCGAAAAGGACAATTTCAAGCGGATATTTACTGCATTTGCTGTTTTTACTGCCCAACAAGCTACCGGAGCAACTGCCTTTGCTTATTACGGCCCGCAATATTTCAAATTGCTTGTAGGTGGAGGTACACGGGCATTACTTCTCACGGCTATCTTTGGGGCTGTGAAAGTTGTTGCTTGCGGCATCTTCGTCATATTTGTTTCTGAAAGGATTGGACGGCGAAATGTGCTGATTGGAGGCGCGGCTTTTATGTCAGCTTGCCAAATTACTACAGCTGTTATTATCAAGGAACTCCCGGCGCCCGAGTCGGGCCATGTAACTTCCTCAGGAATTGCAACCGTTGCTCTGATCTACTTGTTTGTCATTGCTTATAACTTTTCTTGGGGACCACTTCCGTGGCCCTACGTCTCCGAGTACGTGTTGACGGCTCCAATATTTCAGTACTCTTGGGCTAATTTTGAATCCAGAATCTTCCCATCTCGAATCCGAGAACCGGGTATTGCGGTTGGCGTAGGCTCTCAGTGGCTCTTCAACTTCGTTTTCTCACTGACCACACCATACATGATGGCTAACATGGGTTGGGGAACATTCTTACTTTGGGGAGTATTTGACGCGGTAATCGCAACGTTGGCATTCTTCTTCCTTAAGGAAACCAAGGGCCTTTCTCTTGAGACCATTGCCCATTCAAGCTTTAAGAAGGGGGCTTCGACGCAAGATTTCATTGCCAAGAACCCAGAAATCGAGGAACATGAGGGCCAGAGCAAGTAAATATGTACCTGGTACCTAGTGGGAAATGGCCATGCAGCATGATCAGGCGCTTTACCCGCTGGAGCGCGCAACTTTATCCTACAACAACGGCTTGGTACGAGCGAAGCATTGACCTTGAGCTCATCGTACCACCCGGGGCTAGTTGGGTACCTAATTTCCTCACACGGGTGAGAAATATATCGAACATAGATCCAACATAATCTATGAGTTTTACCACAGAAATGCAACACTGCTGGAGTCATCGTGAAACACCAAGTATTCGATGTGTAGGCAGAATAACTTAGATGCCTGATACGATATGCAAAAGCCACAGTCTGGCTGAAGAGGTATGCGCCTCATCTCAGCTAATCCTGAAAAGGCGAGTTGCCTGTCGTTGATTGGCCCGCGACTGGACCAACCACTGATCAGCACAAGCATGCTAACATTTGGTTTGCCCATGATGTAAGATCGCCATTCACAGCGGCGGAGCACAATATAAGCGAGAGGCCTGGCCTACCACATCGTATATTGTAGCTCATGTCGCTTGGCATGCTGTCATTAGGCATTCCAAAGGATTTGAAGATCTTAGTAGCTATGGAATAGGCTACAACTTCATGATATATAACGACCAGATGTACTAGGCATTCCTTAAGCGGAGAGCGCTGAAGCCGTGGTTAGTAAATCAAATACAACAAATTCCCCCTCAAACGAAGGTCAAAGGGTCAAAAACACATCTGAGTTCTCTTTTCGATATGTCGCCTCAACACCTACAACCAGATCGGGTTGCCAATATCGCCAACAGAGCAACCCGAGTTCTCAATGCTCGACAAACTTACACCGTGTCGCCTGGCGACGATCCGTATGATCCTGACAACTGGAAACCTATGGGATCATCAGACGACGACACCGCCGACACTGTACGCACCGGTGCCAAAGTTATCACGACCGGCGCGATTATTGGCATTGTCATTGGTGTGATCGTATTTTTCATAATGGTGGTTGCCTTCTGCATTGCTTGTAGACGAGCCAGTAATAGGAAACCGCTCACGGCATACGGCGGCAATAGAGCTTATGGGAATGGGGTTCTACATGGTCCTGGAGTGAAAGACACTCGTTCTAGCGTTGGCACAGATGATGGGCCACCACCCTCATATCAGCAGAGCTCTGATGATTATGACCTTTCAAGACCGACTGGAGCACAGATCGCCAGACATCACGGAGGCGCAAATCATCATGTGCATTCTAATGCTCACAATGCTGCGGTGAATTCGTCGATAGCAGGGGGGATTGGTGGTGGTGGTGGTGGCGGCGGCGGCGGCGGAGGCGGCGCCTAGAAAGAAACATCTTTATTTTATAATTATATCTGTACAGCAAGGAATTTCAGCCTTTCTCAATGTTCAAATACTTCTTAGCCATATAAAAAAAAAGCCCCAACGAACTATTGGCCGATTATGCCGGAAGTCTGAGAGTTTTGATCTTCTTAAGTCTTCGCCGGTGTGTGAATACGAGAACTCAGATCGCAAGTGTAAATTTGATGCTATCGTATGGTATGAGCCCTCTAAAAAGAAGACTCAAGGTTTGTTTTTGAAAAGATCTTCACCATGACGTTTTGTATATCCTCCCACTAAAAAGCTCAGTCTTCGTCTCTTCGATATATAGGCACAAAGATTAGCCCTGTTTCCTGTTTCGTTAAGGTTCTAGGTTAACCTTATTGCCGTGCCACTGCTGTATACCACCTGCCGTGACCTCTTAGGAACTGCTCAGCGTCATTGGCCTTGGCAGCCGTCCTTCTGTGGGCCTCTGCCGCTCAGCCCCATCAGCTTCAGCTCAAGCTAAACTCACAACCCCCTTCGACTTTGACTATGAACCTCGGCGACGAGGACCTCAATCTAATTAGCAAAACCGTCCATAGAAAAATTAGTAGTGTTCCTATAATGATAGCCAAGCGCAGATTCTACGAGAGAAGACTATCAGTTGTTCCTGTGATGTGATCGCAATGGCACATCAAGAAGATAATGGCTCCTCAAGCCACAACTTATCTGTACTGTACGAGGAACACCTTACAAGACAGTATTACAGCTTGAAACCCGACTGCATCGCCATCAGAAGCTGCAAGACGGCCATCCAGGCAGCCATGTGATCTACGCATCGCGCCTTGAGCGGTAAATCTAAAGATAAGCTTGTGGAGAAAGATTGATAGTCCCGTGGAGATCGCCATGAATCTCCCCGATGCAACCACAGCCGCGCTTGGCTGATGTCGTTCACACGAGTTTTCTAGGCGAGGCAAGTACC